AGAGTTTTGAAGAACTTCATACAAGCTATCAATCAAAAAAAAAATTATCGAATTAGCATGTATTATAAGAGAGAACGACGTTCATAAAAGTTTTGAAAAATTTTTGTCAGATGCATTTTCTTGATTTTTGTGTATTAGCTGTTTATTATAAAAATATAAAAATGAAGAATACAAGGAATACATCTAGTTTAACATTAAAATCAAAAGAAAACAAAGACAACAACTATCATCACGGATGACAGTAATCAATAATAAATAATCATTAATAAACATTCAGTAATCAATAATAAATAATCATTAATAAACATTCAGTAATCAATAATCAATAATCAATAATAAACAATAAACAATAAGCAATGATAAGCAATAAACAATCAATAATAAATAATAAATAATAAATAATCAATCTTAAGAATTCTCCCACCTTTTTTTTTGATTACTGCTTGTAATCGTTTTGGTATGCTTGACATCATTTTGGCACATAAATTGATATCGAAATTCTTCCAAATTTTCACAATTTCTGCTTTGACTTGAAATAAATCTTGATAATCTTTTTTCTTTAAATTCATTCGAATGATTGACCAAATATTTTCAATAGGCCATACATCATCCAATTTCGAAGCTTGATCTTCTGTCATGATTCGATTTGGTATATGGTGCTTAATAAAGTCTAATACAATTTTTGAACGATGAATTGAATCACAATCATCTTGATAAATATAATCATCATTTGGATATAATTGTTCAATTGATGGCATAATTTTTTCTTGTAATAAATCAATATATTTTTGACTTGTCATTGTTCCTTTTTTTATTACAATTCGAGCCGTATTCATCTAAGAATTCATCAATAAAAATTGGACCGTCTTCAGGTATTAATCCACGGCTACTGATTGCACCCTGCATAATAAAACCTTTTGTAAATTTCTCTTTCGGTGATTCTAATAGTTCACGAGGCATTGATTCGGGATTCCCGAATTTCGCCAATAAGACTTTCGCCAACAGGACATTCGCCAATGGCGAAAGTCCAGTTTACTTTCGCAAATCTATCACGGTGACTTTCGCCAATTGGCGAGAGTCCACTGGGCTTTCGCCAATATGCCCTGGTAATTTTCGCCAATTGGCGAAAGTCCACTGTACTTTCGCCAATATACTCTGGTGACTTTCGCCAATTGGCGAGAGTCTGATGTGCATTCAACAGTGTAACATGTAGATTAATAGACAACACCCAGATATATACTGATACCCATCCTCCTCGCTCATATTCAACAATTATATTTTTCTGTGACAAATGGTAAAAGTCCATCAAACTTTTTTCAATTGGTGAGAGTCCACTACACTTTCGCCAATACACGTCCAGGACATTCGCAAATTGGCGAGAGTCTACTGTACTTTCGCCAATATAACCCGGTGACTTTCGCCAATTGGCGAGAGTCCACTGTACTTTCGCCAATATGCCCTGGTAACTTTCGCCAATTGGCGAGAGTCCACTGGAATATCGCCAATGTCCCACTGGACTTTCGCCATTGGCGAATGTCCAGTTGGCAAAAGTCTTATTGGCGAAATTCGGGTAAGCCATTGATTCACGACTTATACCATAAACAACATTATTTTTTGTATTATGCATCACAGTTAAACCAATTTTACCAGAATGGTCAGAATTAACAACTAAATTCCATAAAAATTTCTTCGATCTTGGTCTTCCTCCATATTTACTTAATAAAATTTTTGCACTTTGAATTCGATTTTTGACATTATTGACAGTCATCTTAGTCGATTTGAATTTATGAAAAGGTTTTAGTTTAAGATCAATTTTAATTGCACAGTTAACACTTGATAAAGCCATTCCCAAATCAATTGCTGTTGATCGTTGACCAGGATTACGGTGTTGATGGAAATGTTTTTGCTTGATTTGTTCTATATTTTCTATTGATCGTACTGTTCTAGGTCTTCCTACTCTTGGCCTATCTTCAAGAGTTCCTCGTGATAAAGTTCGTTTTGATAAAGATAATAAACCATCATATGATAATTCATCAAGTTCATGAATTTCCCAAATTCTTCTAGCAATTCTTCTATATCC